GATTTTCACAGCAGCAGAGTGAGTTTTTCTTCTCCATGAATCTTCATTTTCTCTAGCTCCTGCTAGAATTCTGCCCATGCAAATTCCTTTGAGATCTTCAGCTGTGTAAGGCAATTCAGAGCAAGCATGGGGACAGCGAGTCCATGACCCTAAATGCTCATAATCTATTACAGTGGTCTCCAAAGTGGGGTGCAGGCACCCCAGGGGAGGCACAAAATGATCTATTGGGATGTGGGAAGAACATATTAGAACTTCAGTAGTACGTGTATGTAACCTATAAATTAATAAATACGCATACACTGAGGCTGAATACTCAAAATTTTTTTTAGTGATAAGGGTACGTGTCAAAAATGTTTGGAGACCACCAATCTACAGCATGTCAGGGACAATTTGGCAACAGTGAGAATTTTACCAGCTCGTCTCTATAGTTGGGCTAGTTACTGCTGGGGCTGACTCCAGACCTGTGGGAATTTTCCTAAAAGCTGTGGTGTGTGGGTTTTCTGTTTGTGTGTTGTTTGGTTTGGGGTGTGGTGTGGTGTTTTTTTTGTTTTGGGGTTGTTTTTTTTGTTTGTTTTTTTTTAAGCACTGACCTATAGCAGAAACTTTGCAAGCTGTCCTACTCTCCTTTAAAAACCTTGATTTGAATATTTGCTTCCTCAGTAAAAGTGAGCAACTTTAGTACCTCAGGGGACTTGACCAAGAAAAATGTCTCCTTCTGGAAAAAGTGCAGGAGTCAGCAACAGAGCTCACTGAGTGGAGTAGTCTGAGCACAGCAGCTGTGAGTGCTGTCATGTTGTCTTCTGGTGCCAATCACAGAAGCTTCCTGAATGAAAGCAGGACCTTTTGACCTGAAGCAGGACTACTTCACATTTGGGAGTTGCTAAGTTTCCATGTTTGGTGACCAATTTTTATGGTTAAGCATTCACGGATAGGGGTAGAATCATCAAAGATTATGTCTCTGCCTAAAGATTATTAATATTTTTAGAACATACATTCACATGAAACTTGTTCTTTATTACTAGCAAAAGAAAATCCCATCCTTTTGGCACTTGCTATTGTGGCAAAGGTCAAGGTCTATAGAACTTGGGCTATTTCTGACAAGTGAAGTGAAGGCTCAGGTCAGAAAACCTCCGTACTGTGATAAAGTCTGTCATGACTGCTGCCTCCTGGCTTTTTTTGAGGAGGATATAAGGAACACCGGAGTCAATGTTTGCTGGTCACATGACTCAATGTTTTTGAGAAATTCATAACTTCTTCTCTTTCACAGGATAAATTGCTATTTAACAAGACTAATTGTTTACTATCATAATTAAAAAGTAAAATAGAGCTTTGTAACACATTCCATGTGATACTTTTTACTTACACATACTTTAAAATTGTGTAAATAGTGATTGTTGCCAGAAGTACAGAATTACAATTTGCTTTTCCTGGGCTTGTGAACACCAGCTCATTGAGGGGAAGGGTTTTGGGATTTTGAGTGGATTTTTGTTTGTTTGTTGGGTTCATGTTTTGATTTTTTTTTTTAAATTTCAAAAGATTTTAAAATCTTTGATTTAACTTACTGCAATTTTTCAGACCTTTTTTTTAGGACAATGTCTTGTCCTAGTGAGTCTGTCTCTCAAATTCTGTAGTCCACTGGCTGTTTGTCTGTGGTCTGCTGATTTCCAAACAGTTACATGTTGGAAGCTCTTCTCTGATGTCAGTCTACTTCAGCCTGTTACTGTTAGCTGTATCTTAAAAAATGAAGTCATATTAGAGCAGGATTTTTACTTTGCTACTTTTCCTACTTTTTTCCATTGTATTTGCCTAAACGTTTAAAGGTAGTAGCCAGTGCTGTGATAAGGTTAGGGAATCTTAAATGTTGTAAATCCTTGATTTCAAAGTCTCCTGGAGGTGGAATGACCCTTGGAAGTCCATTAAGGAAATCTTGTTTCACCAACAATGCCTTTCTGAATAAGACACCCGAGCTTTTAAGAAAGCCCTTTTTTTTATTTTTTTTTTTTTCCTTCCTCTCCTGTCTCTCCTCCTCCCCAATTTAATTACCTAGCTCTAATACTGCTTTATTTTGTTTTTCAGTGACCGGACTGTGAGGATCTGGAAAGCTCGAAATGCAATAGATGGACAGAGCTCAGATACAGGAGATGCAAGTGAAGATCTTGCCAGTAATTGAAATGATGGGGATAAGTGAATATATTGATGAGTTTGAGGTGCACTCTATGCAGTTTGCTGCACGCTTATTAGGTAAACACTGATGACTGGAATGAACCGAAAAATAGAGTGAACTCTTCTACTTAGACCTGCTGTCCTTAAAATATGTACTGTATTTAAGAAAAGAAATAACCTCTTGGTAACATGCTTGTGTCTCAATGGTCACATATATATGTCTATATATTATGGCTGAATTTGTGTGAGTATGTAACACTTGCAGTTAAAATTAACTGGAAATCGGTCTTCTCTAATGACCATCGCAAAATTATAACCTGGACCATATAACAAGTGCTCTGCTGTACTTCACTCACAAGTATGATCAGCTGTTTTGCATTTTAGGGTAGCAGGGGAATGATGATGTCCCAGTAATAAGCCTTTGATTACAACAGATGTTGTGTCAAGATTCTAAAGGTCACTTACACTGCTGTTAGGAAAGTGGAGTGAATAAAAGATGGGAAGAAGCCGTTAATGACACATCTATCTGACATGGCTGTATCCTGCTAACAGTGAATGCCACATGATTTGTGTTAATGTTAGCGTATAATCCTTGTTGACCAAAGTTGTGCAGCTATGTATACTCTGTGCTCAGGACTAGAACTCAAATGCTCAGAAATTGGTATGTTTTATTAGTGTTTTGCCTATATTCTGTAATGACTAGGTGTTCTTAATGTCATAACAGAAATATATCTTAATCTATTTTTCTTATGGATTTGTTTCTATCATCTCACATTTTCTTTTTTAAAGCAAAATGTCTTTCCTTTTTATCTAATTTTATATGCTGCTAAATGTATTTTAAATACACTGTTTTGCAAACCTAGGCAGTTACTTTGAGAACTGAACCACGTGTACTGGAAAAAGCTATGTAAATAGATGGTTGTACAAAGAAAATACCTTATCTTGTGCCTGTATGACTTTTAAAGCTCTTAGAGTGTGGATATTGAGGAAGGATGTATAATTTACCCAACTGCTCTGAATATTAATTTGTAAATTCTGCTAATTTTAAAAATTTATGTAGATTCACATACAGTGTTTTGGATATTGAGGTTTTTTTGGTTGTTTTTTTTTCTCCCCAGAAAATATCAGTCTGTAAATTATAGCTTATGTAGTTAACACTTAAATAAAGATGTGAATGTGAACTACTTCTCTTTGCCTTTTTCATCGTACTTCCTTAAAAAAAAATCACTTTCTTTGCGAAGACCCTGAATATAAAATGCACAATTTTATGGAACACAAGAGAATAGCTTGCTGAGTGACCAGGACAAGCCCATAGGTTGTTCTGGTATCCCATGCCTGAGTTCTCGTTGGCCATTATTTGTGTTTTGATAGTACTTAAGAAGCCTAGAAGGATTCCCTCATACTAAGTACAGTACAGACTTAAATTGAAGCAGATGGCTCCTGTTCCTAAGAGATGACAGTTCTTACCTTATTACATGTGGTCTGTCAAACAAAGAAAAGTTCTGATGCCTCTTACTCATCTTAGAGGAATTATTTCCCTCTGAGCTTGAAAGAAGATGAAAATGCATACTGCTTGCAATTTGAGGTTACTGACTTTTTCCAAGTTTTGGCAGAAGTGAGTAATGATAGATATTGTTAAGAAATAATGTATAGGTTAGTTAAAGTAAACAGCAGCAACACCAGTTAGTGTTTCTCTGTCATGCTTTCTGACTGCTCAAGGAGTGTACACGCACAAAAGATTTGAGACCCTTTCACAACTTTGAGCAAAACTCCCAGTGGAGAGTGGATTTACATGTGAGACTTGTGTGAGAGGCTTTGTGTGTGTGGGGGAGGGTCCCTGTTCTGCCTGGCCCAGTGGGTACCGGCCACCCACCCTGCCAAGCTGCATGAATGATGCCAACAGCTCGGTGACCCCTGGTTTTGGAGTTGAACACTCACAGCTGTCATCTGAGAACCCTGGGTAGATGGCGGTTGTTGTTGTGTTTTGTTTGTATATGTGTGTTAGTGTATGTGTAAGATCCATATGGATATTGTGGTTTTCCGCTGCAGGACAAAAGTCCTTACAAATTTAAGAAGTTACTACCTGCTGTCAGGCTCCTTGGCTTTAGCAGGCATATGGTGAGGAGCTGTGTGGCGGCAGTCTGGATTGCCCATGCTTCTCTCTGGTGATGCTTGACAACATGGACGTTTTGTTTTACGAAACTATCTTCTGATAGGCACCAGTGTAACTTAGATAATGTGTGTCTAGAAAGACACAGGCACGCTCCCCTCAAGAAGACGTTCCACCTAAACCAGATCTTACCATAGAACGCAGCTTTACTCTGAAAGTTCTTGCCATCAAGTAGCTGGAAGAAAATTGTCATTATGTAAAGGTCGCAGTATCAGTGTCTTGTTTTAACGGAGAATTCTTCAACTGTCCGTTTTACTCCAAACTTTTCAGTTGTACTATAAAACTACACTTGTGACACAAGGTAACATGAAATCAGAAAAAGGTAAGCACTGGACTCTTGTCTGAAGACGTTTGTTTAAGAAAAAAATTAAGATAGTATCTGAAAAACAAGTTTTCTAAGAATTCTAAGAAGCCATGGGAAAATCATGTTCTGTCTCAAAGTTGGAATTCAGAAGTTGGGCAAAGTTTGTGGACAAATTAGTAACTGCATCCTATCTTATCTGCTTAGATATGTTCTTAAATACAGACAAGGTCATTAATCTCATGTAAGATACGAATGATGAGAGAATATTTGCAGTGTTTCTTAGTACGTATTGCCACAAGTGCTTGTCATGCCCCTGCCTTATATAAAAGACTCCATGCTGCCCGCAGAATTTGGCGTTTGACCATGGAGAGGATCAGGAGACTCTGTTTCTTGGCTGCTGTGCTGGCAGGTAAATGTATGGCGCTTGTGTTTTCCATGGGCTTCAAAAGCAATATATAAATGTGGTAACACAAAAGAGCTATTAGGGGAGGGGATCCTTTTACATGTAAACGGGGAGAACAGGCATGGCTTTAACTCCACCTGAGGTGACTCTTTGTGGTAGACAATAGGGCTGGGCTGTACAGAAATATATCCCAGTGAGCTCTTGAGCACCAGCATGGACATGCTGAAGTCAATGGGACCATCCAGCTGCTGAAAGTTGCCCTATGCTTTGCTGGTTAGTTTGCTGTGGTTTTTACCCCAGTATACCAGAGGTTTATTCGGCCCACAGCCTAATAAAGGGAGAATACATCTTACTATTTGCTAGATAAAGGAAGAGGGAACCTCTGCAGCAAATGCCTTTGAAATGTGTGGATGAACTCAAAATGTAAAGACTAATACTATCAAATTAAAAGGTGTATGTTAATACTTTATTTCCTTGCTTATGCCTTATTGCAGCATTTTCTAACATAACTTCATAAAATTGGAGTAAAAGTTTTTAAAAAATCACTGAGGATAATTTTTCACGTATGTCTTTCAAACTACCTTGCTTTAGCTTTGTTTCCATGGAGATTATTGTGGAAAAGCAGCAAATAGCTATTGCTGAATTCAACTGCTCGTTTGCATTTCATCTTCCATGTATATTTACAGACATGGACCATAAACGCAGTGAAAATTATGTGGAGATTTTATAAGAAAAATGTTTTTAAAAAGTAGGGAAGGAAAATTACATCTTCCCACTTGCTACTATCGCATTTGTACTGTGATAGAAATAAACCCAGGAACAAGGGATGAATGAGGTTGCAGCCTTGTTCAGCTGCTAATACCTGCAAGTGCTTGTGTTCAAAATTTGTTGGAAGATTTAAGCTTCATATTGATAGGGGGGAATTAAAAATCTCTTGGCTCCTGCTGGGGCAAATTTTTCTCCCTTGAACTAGCTTTTTTATTCACAATATCCTTCATATGAAGTACTTTAAAAGTATTTTATTATACAAACGAGTTGATAAAAGGCTCCCGTGAACCTATGCTATGTAAAATGATGCCAAGTTAATAATATGCTGTAGTATGTTTGGTCATATTCTTCGATTTCAGCAATGAAAACACTGATGCTACATTTGATTCCATTAGTGAAAAAATCCCAAGCTAAATGAAATGTGATGGTTTTACTCTATTTCGTGCTTCATCTGCCGAGGTGTTAATTCAAATGCGCAAGGCACGACAGCGCAAAGCTGCTGGACGCAGAAGCCACACTTTGACTGCAGAGGTGATGCTTGGTGCATCATTTTTTTAGCCTCTGTGGTTGCACAGGTTTAAGGGCCTGAGGATCCAGAGGGCTGCGGGAAGCCTTTGCAATCCTGTCCCCTCTCCCTCAATACACAGGTGTGTTTGGTGCATAGTGGTACAAAGGCTTGGCAGTTGATTCCGTGGGACTTGCAGCCTGTGTGTCTTTCCCACATCTTCATCAGGGACAGTGTATGAAAAGGCAAGGCCCAGAGTCTTCAGTGTTTCATTAGACCATTGATGAATCTTCCCTGATTTCTGCTCCAAGAAGAAATAATTTAGGGATTGCAAATGGACTTTCATGTTCCTATCATGCTTTGGATGAAAAAGGGGATCAGAATTTAGGGCTTTCCTATGTGGCAGATCGTGGGAGGTGAGTGCTGGTCAGAAAGCAGCCAGCCTGTGGGACATGACTGCTCACCCTGGAAAACAAAGGTGGAAGCCAAGCCTGCTTGTCTGGCAGCTGGCAAAGGTTAACTGGATTTCACCCATTAATTCCTGCCTCTAGAAGGTGATCCAAGGCTTTGTGGCAGGGAGAAGCGAGCTCTGCTCCGTGTCAGACCTGAGCGTCAGATGCTCCTGCATCAAAGAAGGGATGAGAGTTTTCTCAAAAGACAAATGTAGACAGCACTCAGCTCCTGCTTTTCTGCATTCCCATTGCCTACTTGGAAATCAACTCTGGCACTGCAGCATGATGGCATTTTCTAGTGAATCGACAGCTTTATTCTGTAAATTTTCCCAGTATATATAATTATTGCTTGTGCACATCTGCTTATAAATTTCTTAATTTGGAGAAGGCCAGACTGCATCAGCAATCACATTTAAGCTTTCAAGCACACAACAGTCCACATAAAAAAAAAAAAATAAAATTAAAGCAGAGGTGTTAGTCATTTTATGGAAGAGAGCAATTATCTCTCAAGTAGATGTAATATTTGAATATTGCTGTAATGACTAAAATGACATAAGTTAACTTCAAAATAAGCATGATGCCTGCCATACGCCTGCTCTCTTGAAGAATATTTGATAACAGAGTGTTTTGTCAGTACGGTAGGGAGCTGGTCTTGTGGTGCCCCTGCCCTCGGGAGGCTTGCTCTACGCAGGGGAACCACTGGGCTCGACCCGCAGCTACAAAAAGGAAAAAAATTAGCACCTTACTAAGAGGCTTTTGCCAGGATGATTCTGCAAATGACTAATCTGTGCCTTTTCTTTTACTGCTGGCATCTTCCCATCACTCAGAACCATACCTGTATTAACACAAACTGCTACTACTATGTGTATGTAGTAGACGTACAATATAGAAGTTACACCCAGTACAAACATATATATAATCAATATTTTTATATTTATATATATCGTACAGGTGCATGCTGGTTCACATATTTGTGTATATATAGATAGATAGATAGATAATCTCTTTTTATAACATGAGAGAGAATAAGCATAATGTAGTGGTTTGATATCAGTGACAGTTTTGGTCCTTACTGAAGGACACCTCCTGCTCAGCCAGCCTGGAGCGTCGCTCTCGTGCCTCTCCAGCAGTTCCATTACCCTCCTGTTGAACTTCCCAGCAGTACTTCAAGCAAGTCGTGCTTCAGCTGAGCACCAGCAGCTCTGAGCACTGCACACCACAGACCTGATGCCTTGGCTCATAAAAGAAACTGGTTACTCTTGTCTCGGTCACGAGCAGGCCTGCTGCTCTGCTGCCGGCTTAGTCAAAAAAATCATGTGTATTAGTCCTAAAATGGGGAAAAAACACAACAAAAAAGAATAACTAAAGAAGCTTGTGGTTTTGTTTTTTTTTTTTTTTAATACAATTCTCTGCTGCTCTGACTGCGTTTTCCCTGTCTCCAGCGCTCGGTGGGTGCCTGGGCTCGCAGGACGGGCAGTGCGCCGGGGCTGTGGCCGTGCAGAAGCGCATCAACTGCCACCCCCAGCCGGGTGCGACCCGGGAGGCCTGCGAGGCGCGGGGCTGCACCTGGTGCGCCACCCGCGTGGCCAACGCTCCCTCGTGCTTCTTCTCCGAGGACAGTCCCTACGGCTACTCCCTGGGTGGGAACAATGAGAAGACAGCCAAAGGCTGGAGGTGAGTGTGTGCGACTCCTTCGGTGCTGCAGTCCGGGCTGCGAGGCCACCACCACTGCCGCCCCGGGGCAGCTGGCCAGAGACCTTCCCCAAGCTGCTTCGCTGCCGCGTGCTCGGCTTGCAACGAGGAGGACACAATGAGGGTGGTGAAGCACAGGTACAGGTTGCCCAGAGGAGTTGTGGCTGCCCCATGCCTGGAGGGGTTCAATGCTGGGTTGGATGAGGCTTTGAGAAACCTGATCTAGTGGAAGGTGTCCCTGCCCATGGCAGAGGGGTTGGAACTAGATGGTCTTTAAGGTCCCTTCCAACCCAAACCATTCTATGATTATATTATGTTTTATATGATTATATCATATTCTATTCATTTATATGATTATATCTATTCATTTATATATCATATTCTATGATTATTCTATGATTACATTATTCTATGACTATAATGGACATATTTCCCTGCATAGAAGCCACATAGAGTCAAGGTCCTGTGCTCACACCATGCCGCCAGTGAGGAAATCAGGCGCTGACACGGAGTGGTCCCTCCCACCCTGGGAGCTGTGTCCCAGGGGACCATGAGGTCTCCTTGCTTCAGTAACACCTATTTTATCCGTTAATGGCAAGGAGACCCTAAGCAAACCTCAGAGATTATTTCTCTCGATAAGTCAATGATTTATTTTTAAAAAGCTGACATAGAACAGCTGAGTTGTTCATCCCAGCCTGTGCCAAGGTGGTGGCAGGCAGCAAGCAGTCATGGTGCATACCAACATGTGTTTCCACTGCAGAGTAACGCTGAACAAGCGCCAGACTTTGTCCCTCTTCGGAAAAGACATTTCCCCGGTCGTCTTGGAAGTGGAGTTCCAGACAAGGGACAGACTCCGGTTCAGGGTGAGTATTTGGGGAGAGGGGAATCGTTTACCAAAGCAACACGCGCTAACGTATGAGCTACCCTGCCATCTCCTTGCCTTGCTTTAGCTCTACGACCCCAACAGTCAGCGCTTTGAAGTCCCACTGACGATCGACTCCCCAGGGGTTTCCGCCGATGAAGCCAGCTATGACGCCGAGTTCGAGGAAGACTCCTTGCACTTCAAGATCAAGAGGAAAAGCACCGGCACTGTGCTGTGAGTATGAGATGTCATTCGCGTCACTTTTCACAGAAATTAAGCAAGATGGGGTGAGTGCTGTTTCCTCACACCCTGTTCCTTGGGTCTGCGTGACACAGGCTCAAGCACAAACTGGATGTGGCATAAGTACAGATTTCTGTCTTGTCTCTGGAAAACACTCAGTAGTAGGAGGAGTATGTGCCTGCGTAACAGATAACTATCTACGTGCATGTACGAAAGGTTGCTCAGCAAGTCAAATAACTTTTGAGGCTGCAGTTTCACAGCTTGGGACGTTGATAGACTCAACTTGTGAAGGCATTGAACTAAGATTTCTGAAATCTGGCGTGTTTTGATACATCAGAGTGACAAATCTCCTGACGCTCTCCAAGAGGCAGGTCTAGGAAACTAAAGCTCAAAGCCACAGAGACTGTAAGTTTATAACTTCCACTGGTTTCAGTGAACAGCATTTGTGAGTCCAGTTTGTCATTCTGCAAAAATACCAGTCGTGTTCTCAAGCTGGCACTGTAAGCTTAACTTCAGCAAAAGCTCCCCTTCCCAGCAAGTATCAGCAGGTGTCATAATTTCCCATTTTCTTGGCTTCCACCAACACATCTCTAGTGTGTAGTGCTACTTAGCCAGAGAGTCCCAACCACGGTGCGCTCCCGACAGTCGCACTCGGAGATGCTACAGCGCAGTGTAGCAGCAGTCTCTGGCTGTCTGCGGTGACAAATGAGAGTGTTACAGACCACACTGCGTATCACTGCTTGACTCAGGCAGGCGATGGAGATGCGCAGAACATAGAAATACAGGTACTGTTCCAATCAGGCTGTGGTTGTGTCTATGTTAGCATTTTAATTCAGCTCAGCAGTGCTTTTTGACACGAATCTCTTGATTATACCCACTTCTTGTGTGCTGGCTGACCCTGCAGTGGTCCTGAGGAGCATGGATTAGGTGCCTTCCATGTGACCTTACCAGGAGGTGTGCTCTGGGAGCACACACAATGCAATCTGGCTGCCCAACAGGCTGTCTCAGAGCAAGCCCCCGACATGTGTGTGGCCACTGGGTCCTCAGCACCAGCTCTGCCTGTCTTGCACCCCACTACTAGTGCAAGCACATTCCCAGAAGGTCATTGAGACCCAAGTGGTTTATTTTATGCGTTAGAAAATCTAACCTCAAATCAAGAAATCAAAAATCAGCTCAGATTTTCCCCCTCCCAAGAAACTCTTTGTTAAACAGACTCTAAATGCAAGCATTATCTTTGCGAGTAACGTAAGGATGGGTTAACGTGTGTGATGCAAGTAGACAATACTGCCTCTGGAATGGTTTGAGTCTGCAGATGAAATCACTGCACTGCTTTTTAATTAACTGTCCATCCTTTTAAATTACAATCTTGTGGCATCTCTTTTTGTACATGTCATAGTCAATTCTGTAAAGCTTTATTTTTGCAGGCTATTGTAAATGAATGTATTATGTATTACTCTGATAACAAAAATAATTTAATTCCTTGTTAGACTTAACAGCTTTGTGAAAAGTTGGCTTATGTTAAAGGCCCAATTTTCTTCTCTTTGTCATAAGAAACTTTTGTAAAGGCTTATTAATTGGAATGGTGATATAAGAGGTGAACGCATAACAACACGTGGCGAGCAGCCAGCTCATCGTCCATTCCCATTCAGCCCTGTTCATCTTCACCTAAATCCTAAGGGTTTAGCCTCGGTTAGTCAGGACGCGCTCAAACCTAGGATGTCCCAATTAAGGGAAGGGGTCTGCGATGAAGCAGGTGCAGGGATTGATCTGTGGAGCTGCTGAAGGCAGAACTCCAGCGAGAGGCAGAGGAGCGCAACTTGGTCCCTGCTGAGCAGGTTTCCAGGAGGGCACATTCATCATCCTGCCATGGGCCCAAGGAAGCCTCCTCCATACCCCTGGCAGTGGGGCACCCCTTGTCCCCCAAAATGTGCGCTCCACAGGCGTTGGGGTGCAGCAGTGATGTGCTGCAGAGCCTGGGGAGGTAGAGGGCAGTCTTGGTTAGCAGCATCAGCGCAGCACTCGCAGCCATGCTCTGCTATCAAGCATCACTGCTGGAAAAGCATACGCTGGCTCCAGGCAGGTAAAGGAGTTCTCTTGAAACCAAACCAACCCTAAAAAGAGGAAATTGCAGGTGAATATAATGCACAGTTAATGGATTTTTATCCTGCAAACAATGGCAGGGCTGCTACTGAAAGATTCTCATCAGCAGAGACACAGGATTTTGCATATAGAAAGGGAAATTATATGTTCCTGGGAATTTTTGTTTCATGTGAAATGGCACAGCTGGTACTTACAGACTGAAGGATCACATCCCAGCAGGGAGCTGTTCCTCTCACAGCTGAATTGTGTTCGGAGTAAAATTCCCTGTATGAGGAGCAAAAAGGCTTCCCTTTCATTTTCTTGCCAGTCCGTCCCATCAGAGTGGGTGAATAAATGCTCAGGGATACCTCGACAGCCTGGCTTACAGGGATTCGCAACCTCCTTAGCCACCCGAAGAGCTGTGCAGCTGAAAATCATCTTTCAAAACAGGAAAGCAGATTATATATCCTGAGCTAAAGGCCATGGGCTGCTAGACTGGGGAGGGTGAACCCCCAGCAAGCAGCGTTACAGGAGCATCCCCACCGGTGACTGCACCAGCTGCCTGGGTCCAGAGGAGAACTGGTGGCATCTGGCATGTTAAGTAGATTTTCATGTTAGTTCAACCTGCCCAAAGGCAGGTTTGGATGCATGGGAAGTGGGTATGAGCGTGCTCCCTGGCTGCAGCAAGGGCTCAGCAGGCAGAGCATCTTCATAGAATCATAAAATATCGGGTTGGAAGGGACCTCGAGGATCATCTGGTCCAACCTTTATTGGCAAAAGCATGGTCTAGACAAGCTGGCTCAGCACCCTGTCCAACTGAATCTTAAAGGTGTCCAGTGTTGGGTAATCCACCACTTCCCTGGGGAGATTATTCCAACGGCTGATTGTTCTCATTGTGAAAAATTTTCCTCTTGTGCCCAGTTGGAATCTCCCCAGAAATAACTTGTACCCATTACCATTTGTTTTTTCTGTGTGACTCCTTGTGAGCAGGGAGTCTCCATCTTCTTTGTAACACCTTTTAAATACTAAAACATGCTGATAAGGTCTCCCCTAAGCCTTCTTTTCTCAAGGCTGAACAAACCCAGTTCTCTCAGCTTTTCTTCATATGGCAGCCTTCCCAGCCTTTTGATCATTTTTGTGGCCCTTCTCTGGACCCTCTCCAGCCTGTCTACATCTTTTTCGTATAACGGGGACCAAAAGTGAACACAGTATTCCAGGTGTGGCCTGATAAATGCTGAGTAGAGTGAGGTAATGACTTCTTTATCTCTTCTGGTGATGCCCTTGTTGGCTTGTTTTGCCGCTCATATTGATCTTGTTGTCTACCCCCAATCTTCATCATTGCCTTGTCCTCTCGTCCCTGTCCCAGGTGCAGTCTGCAGACAAGGTGCTAAAGCCCAAATCTTTTCCTCTGGGTAACCTCCAGAGGTGGAAGCTGCTGCTCTGCAGGACACCCAACATGTCTGGGGCCAGGCGCTGAGCTGCACAGCCGGCAGCCTCCGTGGCTGTGCCAGGTTAGGGCAGGCGGGCAAGCGTCCCTGAGAAACAGGCAAGCACATAACACCTGGGAGGACTTCAGTCTCCTATTTTAAGATGTGAACGGCCGTGGCCTTGCTGTCTCAATGAGCAGCTGAATCAATTTTTAATTTTTATATGCACACAAATATTGCTTAGAACAGTTGATGAGGGCAAATAAAACCTCTTCATCAGGTGCTGCAATTGCACTCCTCAGGTGTGAGTCAATAATAACTGGTATCTACACCAAACCAGGTCCAGGTGCTTTGCTGGACATTTCTAATATCTCTGAGGAAAGTTTTCCTATTGTAAAGCAATCTCGAATACTCAGCAATCATCTGTTTTACTTGATGCTCCTTATCCCTCACCAGCAGCTTCACACTGCTGGATGACTCACCTCCACAAAAAAGCCTAAAATCCCTCAGCTCTGGCACGGCTGATCTGGTCCACATGGGGAGGGAGCAGCCTGTCCCGAGTAGAAATGTGATATGGGTTCGGTTTGTTCTTTGAAAATTCACACTCATGTTTCTCTTGCCTCCTCTCCGTGGTGCAGCCTATCATGCCATCAGAGCCCCTGCCCACGGGCTGGGCAGCGATGGGGGTTGCCAACAGCTGGATCCCCACCTTGCTGCTTGGGATAAAACTCCATCCCAGCCCCACCGCTTGTGTGCACAAAGCCGCCTCCTTGTGAGGAATGATTTAACACCGTGTTGGGAACGTGGCAGGCAAGAGGCAGCAGAGACTTTGAGATATTCCTGAACGTGCTTTACAGGTGTTTCTCCCCCTCGTTGAGTGCGAGGAACCTTTGCCGTGCCGGAGCTGCCCAAGCCCTGGCTCAGGGAGGGCAGGACGAGCTCAGGGCTCCGTGTAATCACAGGAATGGGGAGAGGAATGAATTATGTGAGGGGAGAGCCATTAACAGCTGATTGCAAACCTCATGCAGAGCCAGGAGCAAGAATAAAAGGCCAAGTCCCGCTCCGTTTTCATCTTGCTCGAAGGTAATCAGGCGACAGCCACTGCTTCCCCTGCATGGGGTGAAAATTAGATGGGGTCATGCAGGGAAATGATCCAGGCCCTGCTAGGTGCTCCAAGACCAGGAGCTCTTGGTCTGCCTCCCTTCCTCCTCCCGGTAACGCCTCTTGGCTTCCTCCCTCTTACCTCTCTCCTTCTCCTCCATTGCTGTCCTTTTCTCTGTTCCACCCAGTCCTGCCTGCTCCTGCCTCTCTTCACCCTCTCCCATCCTCCTGCTTTTTTGTTGGTGGCCAGGGAAGGTCCTTCCCCACGCCAGCAGCTCTCTGAAGCCATGGGGGATATATAATGCTCCATTTTTGTTCTGAAAAACACTGGAACAAGTGATATACCTACATGCTTTTGCTGGTGAGGTGTTAATGAGGTCAGATGAG